CCTCCCCAGCGCCCCCACTCCTTGTCCGCGGCGGCGCCTTGGCGCAAGTGCGATGCCTCGCCTGGACTTGCCATGGCCGCTTCAGCCGGGGGCGCTTCTGCATTCGCCTTGGACACGTCCGCAGCCGCCATCGCCACCATCGCCACCACCAACACACTCGTCGTCTTCATCGTGGCCAGCGAGTGCGTGAATGACCCTCGGCCTCCCCTCCGACTACGCCACCCATCACCAACTGGCGAGTCGCGGCGAATGATGTCGGGGGGCCGTGATGGGAGTGGACTCGAGCAAGTCGCAGTCTGAGGACTGTCGCCTATGATCCTTCCAGCTTCAAGCGATCGAGATACGCAGCACTGACAATCGCGCAGTTACGCCGTAGTCAGCGCTGCGTTTGCTTTTGTTGGTCATTCATTCTCCTCTCAGATATTTGTCCAGACTTGTGTCAAGTGACATGAACATTTTGCTGTTTTGGTCAAGATATATTGTTCTTGTTGCATTTAGATGGTTTTTGTGTCTGTACATGTTGCTTACCTTTGTTCAAAATAACGTGTACCCTGCAATATTCTATCGAGAATGAGCACCGCAGCAGTGGTCGTCAGGGAGGTCGTCGGGAGTCTGCAGCGCAAGCAAAGTGCGCACGTCGCCAACCTGCTCGCTTTGTCGTTTGATAAGAGTGGAGCCGACTCGCCGTTTATGGACAACAATCGTGCAATCGAAACGGCGTGTCGAACCTTTTGCGCTGGACTCGTCGGTGCATACCACGAGATTGTTGCAGCGATCCTCAATGCCAAGCGCCTTGTTGGCGAGGGAAAGTTTTCAGTGGCGTACGAAGAATACATTTCTGGCTTCATGTGGGATGAGCTCCTCTTACCATTGTGTCTTGTACTGACATGTGAGTGCTTTAGCAAGTTCCTTGAAGTCTTTCGAGAAGAGTCGAGCTGGCTTGTGCCATGGTTGCATGTGTTTGTGTACGATGCACGCAAGTTGGCAATGCATGCAGACGCCGAAGCATCCAAGAAGCGCGATGGCGAAGTGCACGATAACGTGGTACGACATGATCGAGAACCAAATTGGCACCCCACCGTCATCGATAGAAAAATGCCGAGCAGCATTTAAAGCGTGCATTTTCCATGACCGTTAATGACCGCGCGCCCGTTGAGTTGAGCAAGCGACCTGGCACGCTGTACATTGTGAATCAGCTATTCAAGATCTACTTTCACGTGGGTCACGTTGGATTGGGGCTTTGGTGGTAAATAACTTGTGTGGTTAGCTGAATGCGATCAATTTGTGCCGAAACCTCATCCGTGCAGTGGAGCTGCAGTCGTTTGACCAGTTTGACAAGCGTGACCAAGTCACGTACAAGTACTACCTCGGCCGCATTTTCATGTTTCAGGACCAGTATCACCAAGCTGAAGCCAGCTTGAGCTATGCTTGGCGCCACTGCCATAAAAAGTACTCTCGCAATAAGCGGTACGTGGGGCGCGTCGCCTTCCACGTGAAAAAGTGTCGTGTAGGCGAATTCTGCAGTTTCTTGTCCCGGTGAAACTCATTCTGGGCGTGATGCCGTCTGCCCAATTGATCGAGACGTACAACTTGACGGAGTTCCAGGGCATTTCGAAAGCGCTGCAACAAGGCAACATCCGTGAATTCAATCAGGTCTGCGTGATTATTCGTACGACTGGACAAGGCTAATTTATCACAGAGCCTGGAGCGGTACCAAGACCAGTTTGTCCAGCAAGGCGTGTACTTGCTCATGGAAAAGCTTCGCGCGATTGTCATGCGAAACTTGTTGAAAAAGGTCTACGTGATTCGCACCAAAAAGAATCAACTGAAGCTGGTCGACTTTCAAACTGCTGTGGATTTTGCCGACAGTGCGGAACTTGACATGGATGCCCTCGAGAGCTTGGTCGCCAACCTGATCTTCAAGGGGTATGTCAAGGGGTACATCTCCCACAAGCTCAAGATCCTCGTGTTGAGCAAGTCAAACCCGTTTCCACCCATCACGGACGTGTTGCAAGACCCCACGGCCGCGTAATGTTCGAGTGAATGCATTGAGGTCATGCCCAGAGCTTGCATGTGCCATGCTTCGCTTTTTGGGGGACGACTGGAAATACCACGTTGCACGAGATGGAAGTGTTTACTTGCGTTTGAGAGGACGAATGACCCAGAAACACTTATCTTGCCCAGGACGTCCACCTGCGAAGCATTCGACGTCGTCTTCGCCTTCTTGGAATGGGCGTGAACGAATATTATCATGGGAGGACTGTTGGAAAGCGGATTGCTTTGCCGGAGGTCAGTGGCTTGATGCACAAAGTTGGCCGCCACAAGGCGTTGAGATAGGGAGTGGTCGTGCATATGAATCGAAAGTCAAAGATCGATCTTGTTTCCTCCATTCTGTTCAAGGCAGGGTCTCACCGCATCGACGAGATTTACAAGGTCCATGCCGTGAACTGTAAATCGATGGAATTCTGTCGCAACCTCCTTTCATCGATTCGTAGCAAAACACCTGCAGTTGGTCCAAACAAACAAAAATACTTGATGACCGTGGCGAAGGGATACATTAGTTATCAGCGCATATGATTCCGGGTACATCAGAAACGCGACCCTCTAAGCGGCAAAGTCGTCGTTCTCAGCCGCCTCGAGGCGGCCATGACCCCAACCACCACCATGGTGGCCCCAACCTCCGCCATGATGACCCCATCCACCCCCATGATGGCCCCATCCACCCCCATGGTGACCCCAACGACCCCCGTGATGGCCCCAATAACCACCACCCCAACGCCACTCCTTGTTGCCGAGTTCATGTTTTTCCTCCATGTCTACATCAGAACGTTGAGGTGCAGTCTCCGCCACCGCAAGCGAGTTCGCCAAGGCCATCCCTGCAAACATCACGATCGCTGTTGTCTTCATGGTCTGTCGAATCAAACAGTGAGGAGAAACTCACCTACCAATGAGGTTGTCACCGCACCCATCATGCGCGAGTAAAGTCGACAACCGTCATATTCATATGACAAGCCCATCGTGAAATGCGGCTCCACCAACGGCCAATGTGGTCACCTGGCTCTAGACCTCAATCTATGTTATGAAGATCCCGATGAAGAGGATTCGGTCGTTGCCCCTCGTTGCTGGCTGTGCGAGCTGCGGTAGTAGCTGCGTCGGACGTGAGAGAGATGTGACGGCTCGTGAAGGCATAATAGGCCCGTCAAAGGAGGGCCACCTCTTGCGCGAGGCCACCCCGACGGAAACGCGAAAGAATGAGTAGGGTCTGTGGGGCGACCTCGGCGGCTGGGGTGTGGTGGCCCCACCTGGGCCGGCTGGGGGGCTAGGATGTGGTTCCCTTGGATGGGAACGCCATGGCTGTAGTGGATGTATCTACATGGGCACCGAGTGCTCATCGACTTCAATACAAGTCTTTCCTCGATCTGGAGTCCAAACTGTGGCTGTACGCTTGACCATACACTCGTGTACAGATTACCAGAGTTGCAGCGTTGTAAAACAGCAGCGCATCCTTTGGTCACGTACTCTGATTAGAACAGATCTATATGCATTCAATTGTGGATTCAATTCCCTCGGCCGAAATGTCCCTAGTTTTGTCAACGTTTGCATTGCATGCTAGCGCCGACAAGAGTACTCCAAGCATCCCAGCAGGAAGGAGATGGAGGTGGGCGCGTTGCGAGGAAAGCGTTCGTAGAAATCAATATTTATAGACTGAACGAAGGAAAGCTCACTGTTGCAAAACGAGGGCACATTTTTAGCCGGGGGGTGGGAGTTTCGCTTTGGCATTGCCCGTTCACAGCTCAGCAACCATGCAGGTCGTCGTGGATGAGTCCAAGGAAACAATCTACAAGATCATCATGATCGGAAGTGCCGGAGTCGGCAAGACTAACCTGATTGCGGTCGGGGCGAGGGGGCAGTCGTACAACGAAAAGAGCCCCGCTACGCTGAACCCCGAGTTTGCCACAGGTACAACCATCGTTCGCCATGAAGTTTGTACGTTTTCAACATCATATTCCCGTTTGAAGTCAAAATCAAACGACCCGACTGGAAGGCTGGTCAGGCACACCCGTACATCACGGCTCACATCTGGGACACTGCGGGGCAAGAACGATACCAGGCGATTTCGACCTCCCATTACCGCCGCGTCAACGGTGGGCGATCGCGCTTGGAGCGATCAAATGCTCACACTACGTTAGGCGCGATTCTTGTGTACGACGTGACGAATAAGAACACGTTCAAGGAGGTATATCCTGGCGTCACGAGCGGTGGGTTGTCATGGCTGCGCGCACTGAAGCAAAACTCGGACCCGGATCTGCTGGGCGGCGTCATGTTGGTTGAAAACAAAACCGACAAAATCGATAAAGACCAACCGCGCCCTCCTGCGTATGTTCAGGAGAGCGAAGTGACCAAACTGCTCATGGATGTGGTGCGTGTTCATGGACATCCATGCTATGTGGTGGCTGATATGAGAGTAGGTTTACCGTGATCCTGTCGAAGGCGTGGGCTGGCTGCACGACGGCAATCCCGACAAGGTCAACCCGTTTCGATTGGCGAACTCGATGCTGTACGCGCGAGCATCGGCGCTCACGAACGAGTGCGAGCTTTTTGAAATGAACGAAGTCAAAGGTACGAAATCCATGTCCAACACAGCGCGGGGACTCAATGGAATGTCCTTCGACAGTGGCGACCGTGAACGAAATATTCCACAAGCACTCGGACGTGATGGCGTACGAAAGGACGGATTCTGTGACGACGGTCACTAAGGCGATCGAAGCCCTCGTCCTTCGAATATACGAACGCTCCAAGGACATGCACGCGGGCGGAACCAAAGTCAAAGGCAAGCCGTTCAAGCTTGTCAAGGCGCCTGTCGTCGCTCCCACGACTGCGGATCAATGCTGCTAAGTTTGTTGCGGTGCTACTTGGCTCTGTATGCTGACCGAGCAGCGCCAATCGCATGGTTAAATTTCACACCTGTGAGAAGTCTTCATCTTCCGGATATTGTGCCTGTTCATTGGGTATTCGGCCGTACCGTCGTTTCAGATATCGTCGAACTCACTTGTCTCCTGTGGCCATGACGATACCTCGCATCGTGTGGAACGTGGCGTCGGGCGCGGTGCGGCGCCGGATGGCCCCACCACCACCGGGCATTCTCATCGACTTTCCGTCGGTATGGAAGAGCCGCATTGGATTTGTTGACACCGACACGAACTTCCATTTGAATAACTCGTCCTACTTTACACAGATGGAGCTCGCGATCGATTACGCCGTCGGGTATATGCGAAGGGTGAGGTGATGCCATCGCTAACTGCGGGTGGCGTGTAGTTATACTGGCATTATCGATCGAGTCTTGGCCAACAAGTGGTTCTTTCTGGTCGGGTCCCACGCCATCCGCTACCGGCATGCCATTCCCCCGAACACCCCGTTCGAGATTCACACTCAAAACATCTTCTGGGATCCGACGTGGGTGTACCTACGCGCTCGATTTGTATGCCCGGAGACTGGGAAACTTTACGCCGAAGGGATTACTCGCATCACGCTGCGCAAAGGGCGCGACACAATATCACCTACAGAACTCCTCAACTGCCTGTGTCCCTCCACCGAGGTGAGCATCCAGCTGATTCAACGCCCGACCTTGACGCCTTGGATTGTACAGACTACTGGGATGGTGCCGCCCACTACAATGCCTCCACTTGTGTCAGAGTTGCTCAAGTGGGACGAGGCGTCCGAAGCAAGCATGAAGAGCTTTGACCCATCGAAAGCAGCCACCTTATCGCGGCCGTCGGCGTGGCGTCTGCTCAGATCCATGAATCTGCCATGGGAACCTTTTCAAGTGCCGACACATCGCCAGCCGTAGAAATGTAAGAGCATCGCCCTTCTACGGTAACCACGTAGCGAAGGACCGTGCTCGGTCAGCCGCTAGTAGAGCTAGCTGCTTACAAACATCGGCTTTGGTTGAGCTACTTAGTCGGCAGCTAGTCTATCCCCGTTGATGGGCTACAGCGCCGTTGCTACACCCGTTGAACGACATCATGTCAACGGCTGCTTGTGTGATGGGACGTGGGCGTTCGGATAAATACCGGAAGATCGTTCACAACCCGAAGATCCCATTTTCCGACGTCCCCCATGAAAACAATTGCATTCGTTGTCGTGTGTGCGGTTGCCGCGTCTGCGACGCATCACTGCACTAAGGCGAACTGGAAAGCAGTGGACGATGCCGTGCATGACAGTCCATTGAGCGCTTCGTGTGCCGCCGACATGAACATGTCGCTGGAGGACTTTTTCCACCACAAGCAACCGACAGTGGAGCAAAACAAGGCTTTCGACAACAGCGAAAACTGCAAGCACTTGTACAAGCTCATACAAGAAGTGGCGCTCGATCAACATTGTTCAGAACTCGACGTGTTCGACCTCATTACGTGGGATATGGTCGTGGCTATCATGGACGTCACTGCTTATCCCAAGGCTTCCACGGAATGCAACAAGGAACAATTGCAACAAGCCATGGAACCACTCACATTCAACCCGAATTTGATGGCGTGCATGTCGTCGACGGGCTTGTACGCGTCGATCCTAACAAAATCGACGCCATCGGTTGCTGAGTGGGAAAAGGTTGCCAACAACACTGCGTGCAGCAACTTTTACAACGACGCGCAAGGCGTGTTGAAAACGTTGCCGCATTGCTCCGTCGAAGGTCCTGGTGGGCGCGACATTCACGCGCTCGAAAACGTGTCGTTTCCTGTCTTTGTCAAGTGGATGCAAGTTCTGACGGTGATTCACAAAGAGCACTTGGCGTCGGGGGCGAATGCCGCATTGATGTCGCTGTGGAGTGTCCATGGCGGCGGTGCGACGCAGAGCAGCAGTGGGCAAGGGATTTTGATTGCCCAGTCAGTGTTTAGCGGAGCCGCCTTGGCATTTTTGGGCATGTTCATTTACATAAGCAGTCGTCGGTCTGGCGAAGAATCGCGCCGGTTGCTTGCGGCGCGCATCTAGGTGCCACTCGCGCCGACGTTTTGCCCCATGTTCGGGTGACTACATGGAATAATGTGATATCTCTTCACACACTTGTCGTGTCCGCTGAATGAGCCATAAACACCCAAGTCCTCGCGCCTAGCAAGCTGGGCGGAGGCTTCGGAACGCGCTTGGATCGTGGCGACAAGCAGAATGGTCGTGAAGCAAAACGAGATTGCTTGGCGCGAGATGCAACTTCGTGAGAAGCCAAGTTACACCACCGCTTGTGCGTACAGACGGGAGACATCTCTGTTGCGCGGGCATTCATGAGGCTTTCAACACATCCGGGCACAGTGAGCGCCATCACGTCGTGGTTGGTGCCGCGTACAAGAATAAAACGTATGGCAATTACGTTTTATATCACGACGGACATTGCCTTGAACAAAGCGAGGTCGTTGTCTCTGAGTGATGCAAGTAAACTCTGCGTGAATCGTCAAGATGAGCTGACAAGAAAGGAAGAGCAGTACCGTTGGTGGAGAATCCTCGTGAATCATGGCGATGTTCTGCTAGAACGCCCCAGCGCGGCACCGTGCGCGGGATAGCAATATTGCTTTAACGTATGTAAGCAATAAACGCTTTTACGCTCGCGTGGTGGCGAAACGTATGTGTCGTCTAGGTTCTCCGAGTCAAGAATGCATATGAATTCATACTTTTACAGCTATAACTTCTTCCTGATGGCAACTTGCTTTACAAACGTAGAGTAAAATGCATATATCATAGATTCCATGCATCTGACATTATGCCGCCCAAAGCAGCTGGATTCCTGAATTTCATTGAACTTTGACCACCCACTCGGAACAAAGAAGAGGGAAGTTGTGAGTCACGAGGTAGGAAATGTGCTGGCCCGCCAGCTCATTTTCCAAAACTACTTTTCCTCATGAGAGTACTCGCTGTCGTCGCCTTGCTTGTTGTCGCTGCTGCCGGTGCTCCTGATGAAACCACCCCAGCCCCGACCACCACTTCTGCCGTGACGACGACGACGGTTCCTACGACTACTACCGCTACGACGACGAAGGCCCCGATCACGACCACAACGGCCCCTACCACAGTCGACCCTGTTACCACCGAAGCCCCCACAACGACTTCGGCCGCGACAACCTCCCCAGTCACCACCACAGCCGCTACCACCACCAAGGCTGTCGTCACAAGCGCCACGCCTACTTTGGCCCCCAGCGACTCGACGAATACTTCGGTGATCTCGTCCCCCGACACGAACGAAACGGAAGCGCCTTTCTTGGTTGAAGAAGAAACTACTGCTCCCTCCACGACCGAGGTAGTGACCACGACGGCCAAGCCGACCACGACCCCCGTGCCTTCCAGCGCTGTCGCGATGACTGTCTCCGCCTTGGCTACTGTGTCTGTGATCGCTGCTTTGATCTAAACACAAGTGTCGTGAGATTAAAATCTATATATCCACCTGACTTGGTTCATTTCGAGGTCGCGTTTGTGTTGGGCGGACATTTTAAAAATCTCTTAAGCTTGTTGTATGGCCAATTTGACATATCACGAGGAGTTAGCTGGGCACGCACTTAAAACGGATTATTCTGCATTTGATCCCCATCACGTTCATTTAAGTGCGAGTGCTCCGTGCGTTTGGAAATTTGATGAAAGTAGTGTGGAGAATTTTGCAAATTTCCAAAATATGAAAATATTCCCGAGGCAAATTTTGTTGGATTCGCAAGGAGAAGTGTGACCTTTCACCAGATATCTTGGTTGAGGAAGATCTGACAAGATGGAGATAACACTTCTGACGACGTCGCAATATGTTGACGATCGGTACAAAGAGCTCAAGAGAAAGCGACCCGACGAGAAGGAACTGGACGCGGTTGTCGAGGACACAAGTGCCGCCGCCGCTGCTCTCAATGGACTGCCTCCGGCAGCGCGTCGATTCGACGCGTTGCATATGTCGGCAGAAACGACGGCGGTGTTTGGATCTTCCGAAATGATGGAAAAGCGCAAGCTCACGGGTGTTCTCTACGATCTTGAAATGATGTGGCCCATGACTCTGTTGGACAAGAAGCTCACGCTGGTGTACACGATCTTGAACCAAATGGCCGCGACGGAAACCACGACACGCGATCCGTCGGCAACTGCAGTCGACGAAAAGGTACCCTGTTCAAAGTCCATGTCGATATGAATGCAATGGGTGTAGAAGTACATGGCAGCGACATCGACGACGACGCTGGAATCTCTTCCTTTGGCGACGCAACTCGCGGTCAAGTTATTCTTTCGATTGATTCAGTCGATTCGAACTCGAAGCGAGGCGACTGGCAATTACGCTATGCTGTTGCGCTTGGTGCATCAACTCCCTCGAATGCTCACGGACATCCCGCCGTTGGCACTGTCGCCGGAACAGCGTTTGTTGACAGATGACAAATCCATCTTTGACGAAATCGTTACGACGGTGCAGCAAGTTGTGGCCGTATCCAAGGACGACCAAGAAGCTGTACTGGCGACTTTATTGGGGCTCAGCATCAAGCGGGGGCGGCTGCTTCATATTTTGGGCGTCGTTCGACTCTTGATGCAGGTATGTGCAATCAGCCAGCACATCTTGCATGAAATGATCGCGAATTAGGCTGACCCTGCTCTACCCATGCATCTTGCCCTCCCGTTTCTACAAGAACTAGCCGATGCCAAGGCGCAAGAAACTGAGGTACGTGGTTCCATCTGCTGCTTCAATGTTTGACAGGACTCCCAATGATCGTCATGATCGTAGCATGTTCCAGACGAAGGGCTCCATAACGGCTACGTCATGAGCTTTGGCAAAGGCGACCATGGCAAACTTGGCCATGGCACATGCACCCACACGACGTGCGCCGACAGCAAGTGCACGGAAAACAAAACCGTACCCACGATGCTCGACGCCATTCGCGATGTGATGTTCAAGAAGATCGACTCGTTGTCAACGCATTCCGTCGCGATCACGGTCACAGGAGAGCTGTACACGTGGGGAAATGGGGAGAAGTTTCGTTTGGGGCATGGGGATGCAACAAAAGAGTACACTCCACGACTCGTGGAAGCGTTCTCCGATAAGGTGCGTGGGTTTATTGTCTATTGCGCTATGGTGCTCAACGTCTCAGCAGCCGAGAGTCAAGGACGTGGCGTGTGGCCTCGGTCACACGGTGGTTCTTTTGGTGACGGGCGACGTGTACGCATGGGGAAATGGTGGAAATGGTCGGCTTGGACTCGGAGACACCGTTGATCAAAGCGCCCCGATGAAAGTGTCGTTTGTGGAGGCCAAAACCGATACTTGGAGCATGGGAGCTGTCTTTTGCGGTGCAAGCCACACGCTGGCCATCACGACGCAAGGTCGCTTGTACACTTGGGGCAAGAACAACCAAGTAAAAAACATTCACGTTGACGTGGAGATATCGACCTATGAAGGGAATTTGGTAGGGACAATGCGGTCATGGCCACACCAACGACCAACTGACTCCGGCGGAAGTGCTCTATTTTGATGAGATGGAACTTAAAGTAGCCACTGTGGCAGGCGGTACGGGTCGCGCTCTGGAAGGCGGAGTGTGAATCATATATAACGGCATGTAGGCTGGGAGCACACTCTGATCTGTACGACTGGAGGTCAAGCGTTTGCGTGCGGTTGCGGGTACAAGGACAGCAGGCGCGCTGGGTTACCGCCTGTACTGGGAGTTGGCATGAACGATACAGACCGACGCGTGAAACCCGCCTTGATTCCAGTGCTCGAAAACTGTGTGGGTGTGGCTTGTGGTTGGGTATGATATCCATGATGATTCCAGCAACATCGTCGCTCATGGTGTTGTAGGACCACTCCCTTGCAGTGACGGGAGATGGCAGCGTGTACTCGTGGGGCAGCGGCAGCAATGGCAAGCTAGGCCACGGAGACGAAGACAACCGGGATATTCCTACGAAGATTCAAGGACTCCACGGGAAAGTGATCCAAGACGTCAAGGCCGGGTGCGAACACACCACGGCCATTACAAGCACCGGTGCGTAGATGGCTGCCTGCATGAGGACACCCGTGGACACATCCGAGTAGGAGAGATGTACACGTGGGGCCATAGCGACAGCGGTCGCCTGGGCCACGGCGACAATGTCACACGCAAAACGCCGTGCTTTGTCGAATCGTTTGCGTGGCAAGGGTACCGACCTGTCGCGATCGCCGTTGGTGACAAGTACAACTTGGTCTTGGTTCAGCCCGTGGCCGAGAAAGCAGCAAACACCAACAATCAAGTTGCAATCACCAAACCGCCGGTGACCCCAAGGACAGGACACGTGTACCCTTCGCTAGACGAGTCGATGCCACTCAACGCATCGTCGGTGACATCCCATATGATGGTGCAGTTGGATCGGCTCGCGAGTGCATACATGCCTCAAGACAACGCACAATTACTGGACAAACTGCGCCAGTTGTACTTGCATCCGACGGCATCGGTGCCTACGATGGCGTATGCCATTGACGTCTCGAATGAAACTTTTCAAACGTTGGTGGAGATTGTGTCGTCGACGATAGCAAAGCCCGACCCCATCGACACCGCTGCAAAGTCCTTGGTACCGTCCAGTATTGTCTTGAGGACATCTAGAATGACAGACAAGCCGACGTAGAAGCAAACGTCAAAGGTCTCGACGCAGACAAGCTTGATCTTGACATCCCTTCGCTTGATCCAAGTCAACTTGTTCCACCTGTTGTCTTGCTCGTCAACGCAACTTTCGCCGCTGGTCCTGCAGAACTTGTACGCCATGCTGCGGGAGCTCGCCACGCTGCCAGCATCAGAGGATACACACGAGATTAGCCAGTGCGCTGCCGACGCGCTCAAAGTAAGTCGACTGCGTGTTCCTCGTACATATGTGTCATGGTCGCGTAGATTGGCTTTCAATTGTTTTATCCAACGGGGGTCGAGCAACACGAGTTGTTGTGGCGGCTCATGCACATGACGCACTCTTCCGACTTGATACTTTTGCGCGCTCTCGTCGATCGCTTGCGCCAAGTACGTGTGCCCTCTCATTCTTTGCTCATCCGTTGATATTTCCACCAGGACTACGTCGTCGTAGAGCTGATGTCACGGCTGTTTTCAAAGCAGCACAAGTGCGCTCTCGACACCCCACCGAACGAGTATTCGTGGGACAAGGACAACTTGACGTCGTTGGATCTGCTGGCGCTCATGACGCGGCTCCTAAAGCAATGCGCTGAAGTCGACAATGAAAACGTATGGCTATATGGTGTGTCGGAGTCCACCTCCTTGACTGTTGGCATAGCCACGCTTGCAATTGCAACTCAAGATGCTGGCCGTGCTCCAGTCGCACCTGTTTTCCGCGTGGAGCTCGTCTTACTGCACCACGTGCATCTCGAACACGCTTGGACCGTATCTCGAGTGCTTGTTTGGCGAAGCCTTGAGCTTGCTGCGCAAGGTTCACAAGGGGCTGCTCAAAGGCAACGACCTGAGCAAACTCCAACCGTCGTTTTTCCACGTCCTCGTTCCGCTAGCGATTGAATGCATCGAAGTCACTCATCTCCGGTCGAATATCAAGGTCGGGAAGGCGCTCTTGCCGCTGCTCTTGCCCATACTCAAGCTACTCGACGAAGTTACGTACAAAATTTCGGAAGACTCGAAAGTGAACAACCAGATACTTCCCGACATTGAGTGGATCACCGAGGTACGACACATCTCCAAGCACACGTGGCGTCCATTCGACGTCGTATTGCATTGTAGCTGGAAAATGTGTGCGCCCGGACCGTCGGGCGGTATGTGTGTGTATTCCTCGCATCGTCGGCTGCCACAGCCGAGTCGGCGGCTACACCAAGCTGGTAAGTATGCCACAGTCGATTCCAATGTGTTAGTTCATCCGACAATGCCGTGCACGGGGACGCGTAGCCTTCAATACCTGTGCCGCCACGGTACGATGAAGAGTGATCCGCATGAAGAGCTGCTTCGAAAGTGGGAAGCCAGTCATGTTTACGACGTCGCGCATGAAACGCAGCCCCCCGACCACGTACCAAGCGACGTCACGTTGGTAGACCACCTGGCAATCCTGGATTGGGTCCAAGGTCAAGGCGTATTACATGATTTTCACAACTACATGCTATGCCACTTGGAACCCACACCAGGTAAAGGACCCCTTACGACTGCGCCAACTTTTGACCTCAGAGGAGAAACGCGTAGCCACGACGGAAGTAATTCCACTAGTGATTGTCGTGTGGCACACCGGGCTGTTGCCATCAATCTTTGCATGTATTGCCGCAATCGGGACCGTCAACTTACGAGAGAGCTCCGCCAACCATCCACCGCCACCTGAAGCTTTGTTGCATGTGTGGAAATGGGTGTTGACATACTGCGCCGGGCTGGACACTGCCCCATGGGAATGCATTCGATCTCAGGGCATGGTTCTTTTGGAGTACTATCCGTCCAAGTGCCTCTTCTCCTCGGACCATTCACCCACCATGTAGGAACCGTCCCGTCTCTTTGGTATCCTCACAGTCAACTATTGTCCGTCGTAGTCCATCAAATGCTTGCCATTACCCAAACTGCGCAATACAGTCGAATTCGCAATGGACGGTGTCTCTGGCTCAAGTTATTACGGCACTATCCGAGCGGATCCCGCATTGGCACACCACCTCCCCTGCCGGGATTTCGCTCAAACTTGTCGGCCTCTCCATTCTACATGACTCGCTGTGCAAGTTGACGAGCAATCAGGCCAAATGTGAAATGCTGCGCGTGTTTGTTGAGCCAGTTGAAACTCCTGGGGGTTGCCTGTCGCTACATTTCAATTCATGGCAAGAGCCCAAAGTTGAATTCCAGCGCCCAGGTGTCACACCCGACCGTGCCATGTTAAGCCCTCTCCACGTAACATCGCAAAATTGACCAGCATGTTGGCAATTTGGCCAACGCTGCGAACATTCGTAGGTCCTCGAGCGCGACATGCACACCCAATTTGGCATCTCGTACCACAACAAATTGACCAAAGCTTTTGAGAACTTGTACATTCGACTCGCTAAAATGGTGGCTAGCCCCAGCAGCAGCCTGCTACTCAAGAAGCGCGCGCTAAATATGTGGTGTATCAGCTTTCACGACGCGTCGCTGTTGAGAAATTCGGCCATTTTGCACACTCTAGGTGCCACACCGGAATTCTTTCAAGCAACTCATCGAGTTTTATGCCGCAGGCGAACTCCTCCAACATGAAGCGAACATTCAACAAATGTCGCACCGAGACATGGCAACAGACGATGCCATTTCGTGCAGCGCGCACGGCGTGCCGCCGTCGTTGACGTTGCCGCCTCGATTGCGACCTGTGGAAAAGTTGGTGCACATGGCCACCGCAGGCTACAATGTGCACCAGGCGTGTTGGCATGTCTTTTCGTGGCTGTGCAAGCAATTCATGGCCAACGATGACCATCGTGCCGTCCTCAACGAATTGCGCCCGTCCGCGTCGTCGAAAGCACTCGCATGTGCGTCTCCTCGGAAGCGCCTTTCGTTGCCACCAAAGCTAATTGTGTCCACTTTGGAAGAAAGCATCGACCACATGTACCTTGTGTTGCTGCAGGAAATGACCAAGACCAAGGTGCGTATCATATTAGCCATGGAGGGAATGGGCTCCTCACGTAAGGGAATGGACAGGATGCGCTGGTTGCCTGGAATTCGCACGCCTCGCAGATGGCTCCATGCCTCCAGGCCAGCCAGGTTATGCTCTTAGCGGACCCCCACGTCGTGTCAAGCGTCAGCACCATGTTCATGGCCACGTACAAGCAACGGGCTCCTGAACTTGGGTGGACTGTGTGCATGTGGGTGCATATTGAAGAGTATAGTAATGTCCCACTCGTGCTCGTCGCAAACGGCGACGTCCCGCTCGTGCAGATGACCATCACCGTCGAAGAGCATGGCCACGTCGGTTTTACTTGGAGCTCGACGTACGAAGTCCAATCTCGATTCTCTCCATTGTATGTGCCGTCACCGAAAACTCGCGTAGAGATCGACTGTTGTCCAACCGAACACTCAAACGAGGAGGCTGGACCCATGTCGCATGCACCTTGTTCAAAAACAAAATTGAGCTATATATCGATGGCGGAGTCGACGCGACTCGGTCAGGGCAATACGACATCGTGCTACACCCGACGTTCACTGTGGGGGGCCTTGTCGATCCCCTCAAACCGGAGCACCATTCGTCACACATCTTGCTCGACGACATGACTGTGCATGAAGAACCCCTTGCAGCGAACGAGGTACGATGATCTATTCGGTCTCGCTAGCACGCGTCCTGCAGTTGACAACAACGACGTAGATTTCGTCGCTCGCGGCGGCGGGGCCGCTCTTGTTTCGCATCAAACAGCGACAAATTTTGGATCAATACTGCACGTCGCTCTTGTCGCTGTTGACGTGGCTGGCCGTCGTGAAAGCACCAGCTATGACGGACGAGATCCATCTGATGCTCACTCTCTTACCGCTATGTCCGCCTCCAGCGCACCCGCACATGTTTCAACTCTTGTCTTGTGTCTTGCCATCGATTGCACCAACGCTCGAGATCCCATCGTTGTCCGAAACCCTTTTGGCATTTTTGGTCAAGCAGTTTGGCATTGCGTGGTTCAGTGCTCAGAACAACTTGTACGGCCCCCCGGAACTGTACCAGTTGCTCACATCGCGCAAAGACAATTGCATCTCGAGCCTCGTTCGAGCAGGTTCGTGCCTTTCGCTGGGAACTTGTCGGAAATCTAGACATTACATGGCGCAGGGCATTTGAGCAAGGACGGGGTGGCATCGTGGATAGTTTCGGACTGTCCGATCAAGGCAAAGTCAACATCGATCCTTCGATCCATGCGGGCGTCGTTACTGGATTCGTTTGTGACGCTGTTCCGGTCGTTGCTAACGTCGTCGACGTGGGTCCCCGAGTTGCTGCAGCTCTTTTCAATCGAATCGCCAGAGAAAGTGCTCCTGTCCTGCCGAGCAGACAGCTCCCTTCTCTCGAACCGCGAACCTGTGGTCCAGGTGATTTTGTCCATTTATGTCTTGGGAGGCTACATGAAGACCACGCCACCACCTGTACGACAATCATGAATGAAATCTTGTCTGTCCTCATGCTTGTGTTGCAGATCAAGATGGGCGAATCCATGATGCAGCTTCTTGAGTGGGTGCTGCAGCATCCAGCGAGTGTCGACGGACACGTTGGTTCCCTCGACGACATGGACCAAGACGTTCAAATCGCCACGTACATGCACGTTCGGGTGAGCCTCTTGCGCCTTCTCACGGCACAAACCCCTACGCCAACGGTGGCAGGTACGATATTGACTTCGAATGGCTTGGTGCATCATGCTGTACATGTTTAACATTAGGCGCGCTATTGCAACTGCCGATCGTTGTGACCGAGTTGCTCTCGACGGCAATTCGACCATTCAAAGCGTCGTTGGAAGGGGTATTTGGCAACGAATTCGACGTTGTGTCCAAGCTCGATAATGTCCGTGGACTCATGGATTGGATCACGGACGATTCAAACGAGTCCATGTCGAAGAAGCGAGTGATTCTAGACGTACGTGCCTACCCTGTCATTGTGTCGGCTTGACACCCTGGCTGTAGACGTTGGCGACGTCCCTCTTTGAACGACTGCCGTATGTCAGAGGCGTCGAGGTTTCCCCGTGGTGGGTTTTGAGCGCGGCGCAGAATTTGCACGTCCTCGGTGGCGACGTTGACATCGACGAGTACCGGATCAAAGGCATTCAACACTTTCCCACGGTCAAGCTCAACGGTGTGTAGCCGATCTTAACTTCGCTCTGTGGCAATACTAATATTTGATGGTGAAGGCGTGTCCGTCACGGCGGGTTCGGGCATGTGGTATTATGAAGTAGTGCTTCTCAGCGACGGCCTCATGCAGGTCCGTGCGACGTCTTCACCATCGTGGGTTCACACGTGTGCTTGTTAGATTGGATGGATCGACTCTGCTTTTGAATCGGATGCGTTGCAAGGTCAAGGTGTCGGTGATCACACTAACAGTTGGGCCTACGATGGTACGAGTGACGTGAGCATCGTCTGGGGCTGATCTTCACCTGCCAAGGGTTTCGTCGCAAGAAGTGGAACGTGGGAGCGATGGACTATGGCGAAAAGTGGCACAGCGGCGACATCGTGGGGGTTTTGCTGGATACCGATCGGTGTGAGATGCAATACTTCTTGAATGGCCGGCCCCTTGGCGTTGCCTTTGAAGGTATGGCGAAATGTTGTGATATTCGATTGAGTCGACGCTCCACCGTGTTCGTAGGCTTGCGACTCAACCATCCAATCTACCCCGCCATGTCGCTCAATGTCGACCAGAGCGCGCAATTTCATTTCACGTCGAGTCAATTTTTATACCTACCGTCGATGGAAAAGATTCAACCAGTGTCCAGTGCGATTCTGGGCCACGTGTGCGAGCACAACACGACGGCGGCAACGAAAGCGACGACACCAAACGCAGGTCAAGAACAAGATGCCCGTCGCACGGACCTCGTTGAGGGTTTAATCGGACTGGGGTTTCCACCAGAATGGTATGCATCCTTCAACCTAGAGCGCGTACACTAAATCCATTACTACAGGGCTTTGCGCTGTGCGCGGGAAACTTCCATGGAGCTCAGCGAAAGTGGAGCGATCGCTTGGATTATGGAGCAAATGGAGCACGAGTCACAGTCTGTGCGACCAGCACCCTTGCATGGGATCGACACATCCACCCATCACTTGCAACAACTCGACGGGTTTATGGATGTCAAGAAATCGTCCGTGATGCTTGAAGCGCCACCGCTGATTGTCCAAGTCGACCAAGTGGAGTCGACGACCAACCCGTTCTTGACAACGGACGAGTTTTGTGAGGTTGGCTGGACCGACTGTGAAACTGGAATAAATGACCCGACAGGACGTCTACCATGCCGAGCCGTTTGCGCCTCGCGCTCAACCACCGCCAACAAGCCCCGAGGTTTACAAAACCACCTTTACATTGCTTGCTGCACATTCCCCGACGAAATGATAGGTGAAAGCCACGGATAAGAGCACCACGTTTGTCGTCGACCTCGCCGAAACGTGCCCTGACGAAGAAATCCTTCCGTTGTACTTGGTCGCCGAGTCGGCACGGAGCATGTGGTGTGCCCGCGACAGCGTGAATCACTTGATTTCTTATGCACAATACTTGCCTTCGCCTGGATTCCCCGAAGCTTTTCTACTCGAATTTGTCCAAAGTGTCGTTGGCCGACACGATGACACCCCCATGCGACTCGATACTTTCATGCGGATCTTTCACGTCATGTGCACCAAAAACCCTGCGTTTCTGTCGACATTGATTGCCGACATGGTTCGCCATTTTCAAGCCGCGTGCGCCAAGGAGCACTGGTACACGTCGTTCCGCCCAGGTGACTTCGTTTTTCTTGAGCAAATGCCTGTACGCTGATTTTCCTGGCAAAGGGGGCCGCGTTCCCAAGTCCAGTGTCAATTTGGAGTGGAGTTCGTGGCTGGCGCGCGTTTTGTTTACGTTGGCCAGACAAAACGACGAGGCAAAATTGAGGATCGTCGGGTCAAGTGTGTGGCCTACCCTGATGAAGGCAGCCACTTCTTGCAATGCCACGCTTCGCCACCGTGCAGTTCTCGTCATGACAGCGTACTTGCAGATGGATGTTGGCGCCACGTCGGCGGGGCTGCCGTCAATTCGGGTAGATTATCTCGTCGACTGGCTCGCGGCCAAAGTCCGCAAAGAAAAACCCACTCGCGCCGTGTACACTGATTATACCCAGGTCTGCTGTCGAATCCGACCTACTTGTTTCCCGCCAACTGACCTGCAAATTGCCCGTAGAGCGTGTTCCAGTTGGCCGTGACGCTGGATGCTATGTTGGACGGAGTCACCGATACGCCACCGGCAACGGAATCACGGTCATCGCCGCCGTTGTCCGGTACGACATGCACCGCACATGACCTACCGTCCTGACTTCGGGTCAGCAGACTTGTTTATTGAGCACATTGGCACGACAAGCGTCACGATCGCGCGCTCTTCGGCACTGGAGAACGTCAGTCACTTCCAACTGGCGACGCAAACCGTGGTCAACGGTCGCGTCGCGCTGTCGCCCTTTGCTGATGTGGCGGAGGCTCAATTTCAGCCGAGCCCAGTACTGTTTTTCCATGGTTGCCCCGATTCCTCTAACTAGCACGTACGAAGGCGTCGTTCACGTTCATGAACCTTCAACCCGACACAACGTACAGCCTTCGCGCGGTCCTTCCCCCTGATGAATACACAGTCGCCGTCGACTTTGACACGGCGTGCGAATCGCTGTTGGAACTCGACCCGTCCTCGATGGGCGCCAACCTCGAGCTCTTGAACTACAACATGTCTGTCCGCAACCGCGTCAACAAAAAGTGGCACGCTGTTCGAGCAAGTGTGTCATACACGTCGGGCGTGCACACTTGGGACGTTCGCATCGACAAATGCGTGTCCAAGAACATCTTTGTCGGTATTTGCACGGCCGATGCATCCATGGAGAACTACGTCGGCAGCGATGCGTGGTGCGTCCTGCCGTGGAACGAACATGCCACCACGGCTGAGAGTTGTGCGTTTAGGGGGTGGGGCTTCCTCGCAAACAAGGCCGTGTGGCACAACAAGAGCAAGCTCCAAACGTACGGTGACATTTTCAAGCAAGGGGATGTCGTAACGGTGACGCTGAATTTGGACCGCGGCACACTCAGCTTTGCGCGCAACGGCGATTCGTTCGGCGTCGGGGTCGAACACTTACCGAGCCATGAGGCAGCGTACTATCCAGCGATTTCCATGTACAACAAAGACGACCAGGTCACATTCTTGCCCCACGAAGCTGCCATGGCGTCCAAGGCAGCCAAGTCCGGGGTGGCGTCTGTGATGCGAATGGTGCGGGACGTGCAGCGACTGCACGCGTTGTGGGACGATTCGTCGCAACCACCATTGCATGACAACGATGTCTACTCGGCGTGGGTTCAATGGACTCTGGGGCAGCTGGTGTACGTCACGGGAGCTCAAGGGGAGATTCTAGCGGTCGATGTTTCGGACAAAGCATGCGCCCCCTTTGGCCTGAGCCCCGGGGATGTTGTGTTTACGACCAAAGGTATCAAATCCAACGGTGGCGAGTTCGCTTGGCTCATGAAGCTCGAGTGTAGGCATGTGCACTATCTTGGGGGTGGCACACCACCAGATGTGGTACTACCTGGAATCGCATTCGCCGCCAACGGGTCCCGCGGGACAAGTTCTCGCAGGCTGGAACGTTCAAGTTTGCAGGGATATGCTGTCGCGACCGAACGAGTTCCCTATCACAAGACAACACCACGAGCATCAGCACAGCGCCTGGTCATTGTGTGAAGTAACTTTTGACGAGTTTGCCGCCCGTCAAGGCGGTTGGACCCCTGCATTGGATGAAGCATTCGTGGGCCACCTCCAACTCTTGGCGTATGGCATGAGGTACGAATGCATGCCGTGTCTCGGCTTGATGGATTGCACAGTGTCGAGTCCATCCTCCACTTGGCTCCCAAGGACATCCTCAACGCCTTCGCCAACGAACCCGGCAACCCCGAAAAGGTTCCTGGCAAGTCGACCCTCGACTGCCTCTGTCGCGTCGGCATTATTCATGCTTCGAACCGAATGATGCAACACGTGCTGCCGGTCCTAGTGTCATCGTCTGGATTGCATTTGGTGCCGCGAGCGCGCCATAGCTGCGTTGTTGGGACAAAGTTTGTTCGGGACTTGATCAAGAAGAGTGCTACCTTGACCATGCCCAGTGCGACGGATGATCTGGACGAAGATCCCATGGACCTTGCCAAATTCAAACTGACCTTGCCAGTGACGTACGTGGCCAAGTTTCAAATTGGCCCTTCTCCATGTGTGTCTTACTACGTGCACCATTTAGACCGTGTGTACCATACTGGGAATCGCGAAGCGCTTCGGCTGGAGTTTCCAACACATCGACTGCTGCGTCGGCTGAAAGCCGCCTCGCGAGTATTGCCGGACAACTTGCCGCGTTTTTCGGCCACGTGGACGAAAGGGACCTTCGTCGACAGTTCATGGCGCCACCCGCGAGCGTGTACACAACGTCTGTCCAGCCGCGTGCATTTCGAGTTGTGTGCGACGACTTGCCCGACCCGAATTCGGCGTATCTGCATGTATTTCGAGAGTGCGCGCGGGAAGTGCAGTCGCGTACGGTCGCCCTCTTTGTTCCAGTGGCATCCTCCCACGATGCATTGCCTTCCACCATGGTCAACCTCGACGAAAACGACATGGCGCAGTTTGAGTGCGTCGGGAAGGTCATCGGCATGGCCTGGCGATGTGACGTCCCGATGCCATGGTTATTTGTCCCGCTTGTGTGGAAATTCCTGGCAGGAGAACCGTTGACGTTGGCGGATTGGCACGGCATCGCGTCCCCATCCCCACCCTCTGCCATTCCAAACGACGTGAGCGCAGTCGTCACCGGCTTAGCCATGGCCACGTGGACACCAGACGAGTTTGAAGTCCATAAAATTCCCATGTTTGGGGCTCGAGATGAAGCAGACTATGTCAGGTGATTTGCCCCGTGCATTGTCGCGATTTTCGGAGTCGAATGTTGAATGGTACGTGCGATAGACCCGACACGCGGGGCGCCTACGTGGACGCGCTGCTTGCGTCGTTGCTGGCACCGTACCAACCTGCATTGAATGCTCTCCGTCGAGGCATCACAACGATCGTGCCAGCGTCGTGCCTTGGTCTGTTGTCTGCCGCCCAGTTGCAGCGGCTGTTGACGTCGCCCGCCGTGGACTTGGTTTACTTGGAGGTATGTAAAGCCGCGGTCGTGTCCAGCGATGACTGGTCGTGTTGTCAAAAATTGCTGGAGTGGTGCCAAAGCTTGATTGCATTCGGGCATCTCATCTTGACCGATTTCAGGCACAGGCAACGTATAGCGGGGACGCCGCGACGTGTCCCGACGTAGCCGCTAGTCTGTGGAAGATTGTACATGGCTTCGGCTTGGACGATCAGCGACACTTTTGCCGATTTCTCCTAGGTCATGACGGATGGCATGCGTCGAGAGTAAGCCTCGACATCCGACCGTGCCCGTCGATTCCACAGCAGCACGGGTGCTCTGAGGACCAGGCAACGTCGTCGTATGGGTATCCCTACGTCGAACGGACAACAGAGTCCGAGGCCAGCAATGTCTCTGCCGATCCCATGACATTCGTGCGGCTGTACGTGCCCGCATACTCCTCCGTGGAACTGCTGCAAAAGAAACTGCACTTGGCCATGACCCACACCGACCAGCCGCTCCATCAATCGTCCGTGTAGGCTTCGTTAAACATACTTGATATTCATGGTGATTACATGAACTGGCATCGGCCACAGCACACGGTGACCTTGTCGTCGTCATGCGTCTTTTGGGTTTGAGGAGGTGGCGCCGAAAAGTAAGGACTAGGTGGAACGATAGTTGCTTGCGCAGGTGGGATCGGCGCGGCCGTCCGGAACGACGACGATGTCATCTTTGCTTGCAGAGGAATGATCGGCGGGGGAGGAGCATGACGGACAGACACGCCAACCAGCGCTTGGGCAGCTGCCTCTTCTCGATCGAGCGTCGAAAATGTTGGCCTCGCGTTCGGTCCAAGACTTGATCGAGTATCGTCGTTGTACACACTAGAGACTTCGCTGGATGTATCGTTGTAGCACTCTTCGTGGTGGCTGTACGCGTCGGAGTTGGCACCTTCCTGCTTAGCTTGCCGCGCTTTTAGGCCCTAACGTTTGGACGTCACATGGCGCGACCTACTTGACGCTGAAAACACACCTGAACCCATCGAATTGCTTCGTCCCGGTCTGCAGCCTACACACAAACGCAGATACGTGAACTTTGGGACACGACTGCCGAAGGTGGACTTCACACCCGAAGAAGGTAATCTTGGTCTCCGATTCGGAGGGAGAAGTCGGCGGGAGACGTGTCTGTAGTCGCGGTACCAGCGGGGATACCGAGTTGAATGTTTCCACTCCGCCACAAGTCAATACACGCGAGGAGCTTATCGCTTTCTGCATTCTATGACAACGGGCATCACGTCCTGTGAAGGGCATCCGCACGCGATGGATGTACCTTGTAGTACGTCAGATAGTGACTCGTCGCTTCGAACCATCGCTTCTGGTATCGTCCCTGCCGACTCTTCTTGAGCAGATAGCCTACCATCACAGCATGAGCATTTCCCGTGAAGCTATGTTCGCAGCACGTCACCATTCAGCTCTGGAAGGGTTTCCATGTCGTCGGAGTGGAAATCGCGTAATGCCGCTGACGACGACGACAGCTGCACCAACTCCGCGACGAAATAACTTGAATTTTGTATACTCGATTGTCCCAATTGGGATCTGCCTGCCATGGGGTTGTACGGCGGAAACAGACAGCATACAATTATACCATATAGATTGAAGGAGTCGAGTTTGGCAAATTCTGCTATTAGTCGTCGGCAGATGAGAATACAATTACAATCACCGAATTCATATAGATTTAAGTATTAAGAGTTATTAAATACAGGCATGATGTGACTACAAATAGCGTCGTACATTCGATGCGTCCCCCGGCGCCATGTTGCTGGATTGATGCAACCGCCAGGATGGCGAAACCGCGTCGAGCCAAGAAGCGAGGCGGCAGCAAATCCGCCGAAGACTGGCAGGACTCCAAGCCCTGTCAACATCACCCACCAATACCATTTCGACCAGAATTCATGCATCTCGTAGATGCACTTCGAAAGCACAGATGTAGCACACCACGGAAGTACCAAGCACGACACGTAGCACGACATGGACGTGCCAACAGAACAGCCACTAAGCAAAGAACAGGAACCGACGTGTGTTGACCCGACCTTCACGCGTGTCCGCGTCCATCAAGAGGCTGATGCGAGTGGCGGTTGGCGAGCACGGTTCCGCACGTTTCCTTGGGCACGACGGGACGACCCCACTTTTCGACTCGATGCAGACGACGGCGATCGTGGTGTTTGCGGCGATGGCCTTGGCGAGCGCGTCGGCGGCGGATCCGGCGCCACAAGCAGTGGCCTCAGCTCCGCAAGCAGTGGCGTCTGCACCCCCCAGCGAGCCGTTGCAAGCCTCCCACGACGGTGAGCAGTACTATGGAGACGACTACGGCGGCTACTACGACCGTCCGTGGTGGTGGCACCGTCGCCATCACCACCACCACCGCCGCCATCGCCCGATCATCATCGTCACGGGCGAGGAGAGCGACGTCGTGCCCAACTAGCCGCGTCTAGTCCTTCTTCTTCCCTCTCTAATCAGAGTGCAATATCACCTTGTTTCTTGCACCCTCCGCATGCTTCCTCCTCGACGTCGTCCTTGGCACGCGGTCCGCACAACGCGAGCGCCGTTCGATGTCGCCTCTTCTCCGGCGCACGGAGCCTCCGGCGCACGGAGCACAACTAGCCTTTGCTCTCGTGCGACACGTTGGAGAACTGGCGAGTGCGTGCTAGACCCCAGCGTTGACAAAGCACGTCGTGTCGCCGCAGTGTGTGGTCCAAGTGTGCGCCACTCGTTGAGTGCGGAGAACGTCGCTGCACGGACGTGAGGGCGAGTAGGCAAACACATCGTCGGCTCGAGGTCAAGTGAAAGAGCAGTTGTGTATTGGGGTAGATTACGATCAACTACGTCCTTAGATGCACCCACCACAGCCAAGCCCACCCCAGCCGAGGCCACCCCAGCCGAGGCCACCGCACCCGAGCCCCCAGCCGAGGCCGCCGCACCCCCAGCCGCGGAGGCCGCCCCACAGGCCCCACTCCTTCTTTTGCGCTTCTGTCGGCGCTGCCTCGCGCAGGCGCTGACCCTCCTTCGAGACCACGCCTTGACGAGCCGCCACATCCGTCGTCACGTCCGACGCAGCCACCGCGGCAGCAGATACAACCAGCAACAGCGCAATCGACTTCATCGGGGTCTGCAAATACGTAGAGTGAGGTCTTCTCGAGGAAGATGAGCGCACTGGCCGTTGGCGCCGTCCGTTGACCCGACCTTCACGCGTGTCCGCGTCCATCAAGA